CAGTGGGGCTTAAGCTCAACATTGATGGATCATTCTGGAATTCTGCAAACTCCACTGCTGTGATTCTCACGTCAAACAACGTCATGGATGAAAATTCTTTCAGCAATCCCACGAAGGTCAGCTATACAGAAAAAAAGAAAGAAAGTTCTTAGTAAACTTTGCTGTGTCTTGATTTTTCCTCAGGTGGTTCCCAAGACTGTGACAATGTCTGGGAAAAACCAAATGGGAATAACCTTGCCTGCTTATTCCTTCATGGCCATCACCGTTCCTTCGCTGGGCAGCAACTCGAGAGATAGCGAGCTTCACTCTGATATGTAAATCCAAATGTGATATACGCCTGTATTAATCAAATTCATGCCAAAACATTATCTTTGAGCTTTCAGTGTTTAACAGCAAAAAAAAATTCCTTATCTTTAAGGCATTCAAATATTCCTTTTTCCTTTTCCGTTTTATATAAGTTTTCCCCTAGGGGAAACTGAGATGACAATGGAGAATCCTTTTTCCAATTGGAGGCAAACGGACGCTGGCAAACAGGTGGAGAGCATTGTGAGGCCTCTCTTCTCCTACTTTCACCTCAACACCGACTCGCTCGCCTTCTATCACATAACATCCCAGCAAAAGGTCGAAGTTTGTGATCTGAGGTGGAAGATTTGGCATCAGGCTGTTCGTCACGTCCTTGAAATGCCCATACCGGATGTTGTGCTGCTCGCAATATTTGCAGCTGATTACTATGGGCAGAACCTGCCACCCTTTTCCTTTGCCTTTCGAGTAGTTGAAGAAATGTTTCGTAACCATGGGGTACTAATATGTTCAATGTTTTGTTTTTCGTTTACTAACAGTATCGCTTTTGCAGGATTGCGTCATCAACACAAATGAGACTGAAGAAGCACTCACAGGTATGTATTGACTCTAATGCAGATAGTTGTTTCTAACTTTGTTTTTTCATCCAGCCATGGTGCAGGCTGTCTCGAAACTCCCCTCCACTTCCATGCCGCAGACAATCATCCAAGACGCGGCTCGGCTCTTTGACATGACTGAGGTAGTGTGTGATCTTGTTCATCTCTGGCTGCTGGTTCAGCTCCAGCACAAGACTTACGCACAATCGATCGAGTGGCTGGTCACCCTTGAGAAGCAAGCACAAGATGCAGATCCTTCCACCCGCGAGAAACTACACAGCGCATTGCTCATCTTTGCAGAGAACTCCACCTCTCTGGATCCACCACTGGAGGAGCTGGCCGAGGAACTCATCGAGTGGTTTGACACTGTCACGAGGATAGATTGCAAGTCCATTGATCTCACAGCTGCTGTTCACCAGATGTTGAAGGTATGTATATGCTAGATTTACATGTCAATCTTGATCAAAGTTCTTATACTTTTCTCTGTGTAGGAAGTGATGGCGGTAAAGTACACAAACTTGGGTGATAGCGATGCGATCAACGACTGGCTCGACAACCACTCGCAAGCCCACCGCCGGAGCCAAGATGCTCGGCAATCATGGTCTTATCAGTGTATTGACGTGAGCAAGACAATGGGACGTTTGCTCTACACCTGGGTAAGAACCACGAAAGGCAAGATTGACCATGCAGAGCTCCAAAACCTGTGCGGCTCCACCGTGAGTTCATTCGTGGAGCACGTCAAGCTTCATGCAGACGTCAACGATCAAGCTGACGAGCTCATGTATCGAGCGGCAGCACAAGTCTTTGGAGAGGCGTTTTGTGGTGTGTTTGTGAGCCTGTGCGAGAATGCCCGCTGGGAGGAATTTAGAATGGTGGAGCTCTCACTCGAGGAGCTCCAGGCAATACGAAGGCGAGCTTGGAATGGGCAGTATGTTGTTCCCAACCCGCGCCTGGAAAACATTGGCAAAACTCGGATGGTTCATGTGAGCGACATGGCTCTCTACTTGGTTGATGTAAGTATATTTATATTTTCGTACTTTTATTCGGATTTTCTTATTTGCAGCTGATTTATGAAGACAAATACAAGGAGTGTTTGGCTATTCAGCGGAAATACTGGCATATAGACTGTGAGTTATTATTATTGTTATTATTAATTTTCTTCGACTAAACTTATTAATACAGGTAACTTTATGCTGTATTGCAATAACTGGGATGTGTATATTGACCAGGAAAAAAAGGGCGTTTACTTGTTAGATAAATGATCAAATATTCAATTCAAATAAATAAAATTAAAATGAAACTCTTTTTCTCTTTTATTTAAATAATTATATTTAAGTTTTTTAGTTTATCTTTAAATATGATTTAGCAAGAAATGATTTTATTATAAATGGTTTAAATAATTTGGTTTGGATGGTCGTGGATATACTTAGAATATGCTTGGATATTCTAGGATATTTTACCATCTAATGGTTGTTATTCATTTAGATTAATTTTGTATTTATAATTATAAACTTTCTTAAACACTTTCTAGTATATTCGTTTTTATTCTACCATCTGGAATAAGATTAATCTTGTGTTTATAAACTATAAACACGTTTATAATTATAAACTTTTGTTTGATCAATAGTAAGAATAACATTAAACCAGGCGTTGCTACATGCAAAGCGTAGTAAATTATTTCTTAATTTATCATAAATATTAAGACTTAATAAATAATTAAATAATTATTAGAAAAAATATCATTTGTCAATTATAATAGCACATTTATAAATCTTTGTGGCGCAAAATCTAATCATCAAGGCTACATAAATTAAGATTGTATTGGGCAACTGATGCATTGCACATGAGATTTAGTATACAACTAGAGGATCTATAGCATAATATAAATCAATTTCCCTCCATTGAAACTTGGTCGAGAATCAAAATTATTGAAGCTTGCATCAAGAATCAAAATAGCAAGAAATAACTCATGTCCTTGGAGTAAATGAGGTTTGACATTCCTAAAATAATGATTATACATATATTTGTTCTAGTGTATATGGAATCACACAGTCTAAGGTGAAGTTGCTCTTGAAAGTGGTAAATTGTGTTTGAGAAAATGATGATTACATCTAAACCCAAATAGTTTCTAAAGCAAATATTCTACTTTCTTTCAACGGCTATAAAAGCCCTTTAATCTTGTGTTTCTTCTTCGTTTGATTGGAAAGATGGGGGATTGCCGACGCTACACTCGACTCATGACGCGGAGGGGCGTGAAATTTCTTCGCAGCGGGCCAGTGACCCAGCAGATGGCTCGAGAGCCTCGACCAGCGGCGCCGCTTCCTGCAGCTGCGAATTGCGATGATCTTCGCGAGGAGCGCGCCGGCAACCCTCGGATGAGCGCTATCGATCTCTCCCTCAAAGCCGCACCCTTTCGGCGGCCTCGAACGGCTATCAGCGAATCGCGATGATGCTGCTGGCGAGAATGAGAATCCTCGGAGGATGAGCGGCGTCGAGCTCTCCCGCAAAGCATACCCCTTTCGTCGGGCTCGATCGCAGAGGACGCGGTCTCGGTTTTCCGCTCGCAACGATGGTGTCCGCGATGCCAGCACTTCCGGTGGCGATAGCGGCGACGCTGGCATCGGCGGTGGCGGTGGCAGCAACGCTGACGAACTCGGACGAGGCGATGTAGCGGCAATGTGGGCGGCGATGCGGGCGCTGGCCGAGGCCTCCTCGAAGTTCTTGAGAACGTATACTCGTGGTGCCATAGCTCTTCACGACTTTAGGGTATTATAGCGCTCGCAGCGCGCGCTGAGTGAATCCTCTCACAGCGAAAGGGGCGAGGAATCCGGCACTTCTTGAGCTTCCGCAGCTCCATCTCGGAGCGCAATCTCTTGGATTAGTGGCGCAGAGCATCGGGCGCGAAGGATTCAAGCTGAGGTAGGTCTTGTATGCCGCAACTTCGTCGTTGATCTTGATCGTTCCAGCGGCATCCATCCAGTGTCGTTCTTGATCGCGCCGGCGTCGCGGAAAACACACAAGTAAAGATCGATCGAAAACCCGGAACAAAACGAAGAAGTTTCGACATCGGCCTCCTCGGCCAGTTTCTGGTAACTCCATTCTTGCGTTTCTCAGTCGTAGAGCATCCACAAGAGCGGCATCGTTCGAGTGGATTCTCTCGCAAGAAAACCGTCATTCCATTTTGCAGGCTAGCTCCGTGGCTGGGTGATGTTCTGCCTTTTGGAAGCTCCAGAAGATTTTACTCTCTTGTGGATCCGGCTGGTGTGTTTTTCAAGGTAAGCGAACTCTCATTTCTTTCAAGTTTGTTTTTCTTGTGTATCTCCCGGCTTTGTGACATTCCTCGTATTTTTGTTTTCACCAGGCTGTGAAGATTCGTGAAAAATGTTCAACGCACTAGCACGTATTATCGAATGCATCATCCGTTCTGTCCAATAGATTGCATTGTCTCAGGCATGCATCACGGATTCGAGAAAGAAGTTTACGAGCAGCAGACTGCTCCGGCATGGGTATCGCCATCCCAATCGCTTAAGATCTGGAGCTGAAGAGTTGCTATGCTGAAGTCCAGGCTGCTCGACTTATCGACGTGGATGGCTTTCAGGTACTTCACAGACTTGGCGTCTTCGTGCGTAAATTTCGTTTCTTCTTTTAGGGACGTGAGAAAGCCGGAGCTATATTCTTGTGTTCGAGCGAACAAGAAAGACCACTTCGCCAAAACGCTGCTTTTGTGGCAGCCCGCTCTCTCTGTGGACCAGATATGGAAGAAGCATGTTTAAGCGTTTCCAAAAAGCTGGGTACAACACACAATATCGAATGCATCCTCAAGTAAGCATCCAATCCGCCCAATGCATTGCCATTGTCTCACGCGTATAAGCATTTCAGATTCGAGAAAAGAGTTTTACGGAGGATGGTGAAAACCGAGCGAGTGTGGCATGACATCGAACGCCGCGAAACAGGGAGCACACACTGTGGATGGTTTCCAGGTACTTTGACTTAGTTTGCATCCCGGCCGATGACAGTGTTATGCTTGTTACAGGGAAAGCCATAGCTATATTCTCTTGCGTGCGTGCGAAGAAAGATTATCAGATCAAGAGTATGCAGCTAGAATCAGTCCAGGAGAGAAAGCCACCCAGCCTTTCCAAGTAGATCAACCATGCAGCCATAGTGATTCATTTGTGGGATCAATCCATAGTCATCACATATCCTCGTCAGGTACTCGAGCCCATCTTCCAAGAGCCCAGCATTGCCACAACCAAAAATCACTCCCAACAAAGTTATGTGGTCGGGTTCTATCCCTTCCAAGCTCAACTCTAGCAAGAGCTCCACGGTTTCACTGCCATGCCCGTTATGGCATACGCTGCGATCATGGCATTCCAAGAGACAAATCTTTTCTCATCGACTGGAACGTTTCTCTTGCTAGAACCAAGTTGCCACACTTTCCATACACGTTTACAAGTGCGTTTCCAAGGTTTGTGTCGAGTTGAGACCCATAGATTCTCTCGATTCTTTGGTGGATGTTTCTTCCTCGTGTAAGGCACGCAAGGCTAGCGCAAGCATCCAATGAAAGTCACCGAGTCAGGCTTTATACCCTCCCTCAAAAGGTGGAGAGCTTCTCTCCCGAGTCCTCTCTCGGCAAATCCACACAGCATGGCCGTCCATGCAACCACTCGTCGTCTCTCCACTAGATCGAAAATCTTCCTGGCTTGCTCCAAGTTTCCACTCCGACAATGCAAGCTCACGAGAGCATGACCCACGAAGGGATTGGATTCTAAACCATTGGAGACAATCCTCGCAAAGACGCGATCAAGGAGTGGAGTGTTTGGAGTTTCCAACGAGGTTACAACGTTGAGATAAGTGATCTCGTCCGGCCTTAAGCCTTCGTGCAAAGCAAGTGTAGAACATCACTGAATTTTTCATGCTTGACAAACATCGTCATCAGTGTGTTCCAGGCCACATTGTCGTGAAGAAGGATCTCAAACAAACTTCTAGCATCCTCCAAGCTCCCACACTTCGTATACATGTTCATCACACTGTCCCCAGGATCACGCTGCTCGAGAGCCCAGCTTGGACGATCCGAGCGTGCAATTCTCGGCCCTTTTCTAGCGCACCAACATCGGCACAAGCATCCAAGATCGTCACAAAGCTAACCACGTTTGCCTTCACCCTTCCTGGTCCATCTCTCCAAACAATCTCAAAGCGTCCCAGCCATGGCTGTTTTGAGCGTAGATCGATATCATCCCTGTCCAAGTGACAACGCTCCTGCGACCATGGATCGACTCAAAAAGTTTAGCTGCGTCGTCCACGCTTTGGCATTTGCCATACATGTTGAGCAGCGAGTTCCCAAGCATCGTGTCCGAGAGAAGCTGCTCGTCCTCCACAGCTATGCGATGGTGGATCTCTTTTCCTCGTTGCAAAGCAGCCATTGTGGCGCATGCGTCTAGAACCGCAAGGTAAGTCACCTTGTCCGGCTTCACATCCATCTCCTCAAACAATCCCAAAACTCGAATGGAATACCCATTACGGGCATATGCAGAGAGGAAAGAGTTCCAGGAGACAACATCTCGTACCTCCATGCTCGAAAACACCATCTTTGCTTCGTCGATCCCGCCACACCTCCCACTCTCCTTGATAAGCCTGTGGATTTGTCTTCCAATATCAACGCTCAAGCCCGAGCAAGCATCAAGAGCACTGAGATACGTTACTTTGTGTGGCCTGGTTCCATCGAACAGCATTCTCCGGAAAACTTCGATGGCTTGGGCATGCTGCTTGTTCTTGGCCATGGCAGAAACCATGACATTCCAAGTCGAAGACCAAGGACGCATCTTGGGTGTTGCCACACTTGCCATACATCTCCACCAGCAAGTTCTGAATGAATCGACTGTCCCGGTGCTCGCTCTTGCGCAGCTTGGAGTGCGCTAGCCGGGCTTGCTCGAGAGATTTCTCGACGCAGCACTTGCGGAGGATGCTGGCATATGTTGCCGCGTCGGTCGCATCGGTCACGCATCGAATTTCTTCTGCTAGTGTAGAGGGCGAGCTTGCGATTGCAAGCTCGCTAGTGAGAGGCATACGCCAGCTTGGCCGTCATGAATCACATCAAAACTACACACTCTAAAATAAATCAAGTTCATTTTATAGAAGACACTCTAAACGAAAGTTTCTAGTTGGCATGCCTCCTACGCTCCTGGCGTGCTCGCTGGGGCTTGTGTGTGGGAGGCTGGAGGATCTGGACGAGGCTGGCAGCGAGGCGACGACTCTAGCTGTTGGAAATCCACTCACGAATGTATGGAGAATTTGATATCAATGCTCAGAGGATATCATTAGAGTTAAAAGGTCAGAACATTACCATGTAATTATGACCAGCATGCTATGGTTTATGATTCCATTGGGGAGCTCGTCCCTGTTTTCGGGGAGCGACTAACACAGGGTGGATAAAGGCTCATTGAGATGGAGGTTCTTCTTGACGAAGCGCCAACACATTCTGCTCGACCAGGGCGAGCTCTTGAAAGATGAGAAAACTTTGATGAAGGGAGTAAGCAATGTTACCGTTGCATTCGTTCCTACCTTGGCCATGCCTTGACTATCGGTCTAGAAAAGAGAGAACATCATCATCAATTGATCCGGATGACTGCGATCATGAATATGAGGATCCAGTGCTAAAGCCTCGTGAGTAGAGCTCGCCGGCTCTTCGAGTCACATGGTTCGCGGAGGCCAAGCTTCGCTCTACAGCCTCGCCAGCGGCATCCACAACCTGGACAGAGCAACAAATCATGTCAGAAGGAAAAGAAAGAATCCTGAAAAAACACAGGAACAATTCTTGGAAATGACTTGGAACAAACTTTGTCTGCATGAGCAGTGTCGACTCTCTCATGTGTCGAGCTAACGCCACCGTTTCATCTGTTAGATCGTCCTGGAGTCGCCTGAGCAAAAGAAGAGATTAAAGTACGATCCAGAAAAACAAAGAGAAAGTACCTATGCTTTCCAACGAATTCGTGAGTGGCACTGTCGAGTTTCACTTCCTCTTTTGAAGGACCAGGCTCGGGATCGTCACGTTGGATGCTGCTTGGCCGAAAGAATAACACAAGACAAGAGCAAGAGATCAAATAATCATGTAGTAAACTTGATAACTTACTGTCTCATTCAAAGATTGCGCTTGGGAAGTGGAGTTTCGGCAGGAGTCGCCGAGAATTCGTCCTGGACATCGGCATTCGAAGTAGCGCATCCCTCTAGCTTACCATGTGATGTTGATTTTCTCAGCAAACGCTTCAATCTGTTTCCCCATACTCTCGGGCTTTCTCCATTCAAACGCTGCCATGGATGAAAGAAAACTCATTAGCAATGAATGAATCGATATTTTTGCCATCCTTCTTGGGGCGCTCCCGTGCTATGAGCACAACCTCGCATGTTGATTCAATAAGAAAGTGTTTTGACCACTATTGACCGCATTTAAAACACTTCATTCCAGCGGTCGCAACAAAAGACCAAGCCTTTGGTGCTAGCAGTCCAGGCTCCGGGTTTGATCTCCTCCGCAGCATTCAGTCCCATGCGGCGATCAGTGGCGAAGCAGCGACAGGAGATTATGGGCCAGTAGCAACGGATGATCCGACCAGCTTGAGCGCTAGCGATTCCAACGTCCAGGTGTGGGAGGCAACGCAGGATTTCTCTCTAAGCGGAATAGCGGACGCCATCTCACGCAACTATTTCGATGGCAAGCTTCCACGGGACTCCGCCAGACCAGCCGAGGGCGACTATTTCGATGGCAAGCCTTCATGGACCAGAGAACGCCCAGGTTTCTCCTGTGACAATGACGGCGGCCAGCTTGGGCGATTTATATGGCAGGCTGCTGTGCTACCAGGCGGTACGTGTAGCTCAGGCGGTAGAAATGGTCGCACACTCCTTTGGCGATTTCCATAAGTACAGGAGTTGGCATCCATGGGCTTTCGAGGAGGCGCATCAGTTCTCTCGACACGACGATCCAACGATGGTCGAAGCGGAGATCCAATTTTCGTGGGCTGAAGGGGGGCAGGAGCTCCCCCGAGACAACGAAAATGACACAATAAGCTCGGAAGGTGGTCTAGCTATGGAGGAAGTAAGAGAAGAAGACGAGTCCAGTGGAAATCCAAACTTCGTGGGACGAAGCGGTGCAGGAGCTCCTCCGAGACGGCACAGCAAGTTCAGAAGGTATGGAAGAAGTATGAGAAGAAGATGAGCACGCAGTGATAGAAGCAGATGACCATGCAGTGAGAGAAGAAGAAGAAGACGACAATGCAGTGGTAGAAGAGGACTACGCACAGATAGAAGAGGATGATCCGATGATCGATGTGGCTCAAAAGTGAAGACGACGAGGCAGAAGTTGACAATTGGATAGTCGAGCCTAAAGAGGAGGACAAGGATCCGACAGGAGGTGCAGCAGTGCCAGATCTCGACGAGCAGGGAAAAGACGACTATCTTGTGGCTGTGCCATATCAAACACTGGAGCCTGACGATCAACTTGTGGCAGTGGCACCACGAGATGAGGAATCAAACGACAATGATCTACTCGTGGCAGCAAAGTGCCAGATCCAGAAGCTCCGGCCGTGGAACCAAGTTTGCCACACTTGTGCATTTGTTTTTCATGATCCCTTTATTTCTTTGCAGACTTCTACGAACAGTTCTCTCCGGATTTCTGGGCTTTGCCTCGCAGCTACGACCAATTTCTCGACAACTCGTTTTTACAAACGAGAATCTCCTCTTCTTCTTCTTCCAGAATGTCAAGAGTTTTGATCCACCATCCCTGGAAAGAATTGGAAAGATCTGTGGTTCTACGTTCTACCAAAGGTTGAGTTCAGAGGCATCGATATCATGAGTGCTGTCCACCAGATACTTGTGGTATGTTATCGGTTTTCTACTTCCAGATGTTTGGCTCCACGTCTTTCTCATCTTTTCAGCATTTCATAGGTGTGCAAGTTTTATGTTTATCATATGGTGACCATGAATGCCTCAAGCATTTCATTGAAGACCACTCACAAATCTTCCACAACTTTCGATTGTATCTGCAATCAAACATTTACAATTGTCACAACGTGAGTGTGTTGATTGCTGTTCACTTGGACGAGAACGAGCAAAGCCATAAAACTCCCTAGGTGATGAACAACATCAAAATCAAAATCATATCTAAAGCTTCAAAGCCCACCGAGCAGTATAACCAATTAGGTTCTTTCACTTCAATAATGAAGTAACAGCAACATGATCACCTTTTAGCAACATTCAAGAACTATGTAGATATGCATGAAGTTTCTTGAAACCCCAAATTGTTGCCAAACTGTTGCGAATATAAGTTTGGGTATCAAAAGTTACCTATCAGCTATCTTTTCGGATATTCTTTCTTTATTGCCACGATGGCAAGATGGTATGCTGAAATAGTGCCAAACTTTGTCTGGCTCCGTTTTGCGTGCTGGTCCTAGCATTAGGATGCTGGTTGCTCTAGGACTATTCCAAGTAGCTCCGGGCTTCTGTCCTTTCGCTCTTTGGGCTATATGCTCGGGAGTTGCTCTATGATCTAATTCTTTTACTCCTTAGCTTCATACTTGGGAGTTTGGCACTGTTCCTTAGTTCAGTGGCCTAAGGCCCTAAAACTCAGGTTCCACACCACTGTCCTTTGGACACATGGCATGTGTCATGTGGCATATTGTAAGCGACTAATTTTTCCATTCTACTTCAGTCACTTAACCACACCTCCGACCACTTGGAGGAGTCTCATTCACAACCTCCATAAGCCCAACTCAGGACTTGGGGCTTGCTAGCCCCGAGAATGGCATCCATGCCACTCAACCTTAGCACTTGGTCCAAGTGCTCCACGTGTCCAATCCCATGATCGACACCCCAAGGTACCACCGACATATCGGCCCGTTACGCTAAGGCCATGCCCATTTACCTCGGTCATACTGGTGGTCCAACACCACCTACATTCCAATCCCGTCCCTCAAAGACTGGGTCATCCATCCATGAGTGATCATCCCAGATCCACTCCTTAATATCCTTAGGATGCCTACAGACATGGGGAATAGCCTTCCCCAATATCTCTGTTTCGGTCCCCACCAAGTCCCTTTCTGTCCTTGGCTGTGTTCGCCAACATTGCCACTGGATCGAGGCCCACCGGCCCGACCACTAAGTCCCACTATCCTCTAGGACTTCCTCACTGTGTGACTGTGTCCTTGGTCACTACCCCAGAGGACTGCTCCTCTTCCTTTCCACAGTCTGGGCCTTTGGGACAACATTTCGGAACACCGTGGCCTTACACGAGCCACCTGGGTACTCTCCTCACCTTCTGCCCTTGGGTGCTCTAGCCATGGGCTTAGAGCGGGTTCCGTTGAGCCACACCAGGTATCCAAGTAGGTAGTGCCACCCACACTTGGACTGGGAGCATCGGCCAGTCGATCTCCCGGGGGAACTAGAGCCGGCTCTTGAACACTTCACCAAGCTACCCCGCTTGTCGGTCCGTGTTTACTCTAGTCTTGGACTTCCCAGTGGGCAGCTCATCACCCAACACTAGGTTCGGCCTTCCTGGGCCAAACTGGCCTTTCCTGGCCAAACTGGCTCCACTGCAGTCCTCCCCCCTACTATACTTTTGGAGCTCACCAAACCCCCTAGGGTCTGGGAGACGAACGCTTTGGGCTTTCACCCTCTCAGGCTCCGGACTCGGGCTCGGTCTCGGCCTCGGCCTCAGTCTCGGTCTCGGTCCCGATCTCGGTCTCGGTCTCGGTCTCGGTCCCGGTCTCGGTCCCGGTCTCGGTCTCGACTTCGGACTCCATCTCGGACTCCATCTCGGACTCCATCTTGGACTCCATCTCAGACTCCATCTCGGACTCCATCTCGGACTCCATCTCGGGTCCATCTCGGGTCCATCTCGGACTCCATCTCGGTCTCCATCTCGGGTCCATCTCGGACTCCATCTCGGACTCCATTTCAGGTCCATCTCAGGTCCACCTCGGACTCCATCTCGGACTCCATCTCGGGTCCATCTCGGACTCCACTTCGGACTCCAACTCGGGTCCATCTCGGGTCCACCTCGGACTCCAACTCGGGTCCATCTCGGGTCCACCTCGGACTCCACTTCGGACTCCATCTCGGACTCCACTTTGGACTCCAACTCGGGTCCATCTCGGACTCCACTTCGGACTCCAACTCGAGTCCATCTCGGACACTCCCACGTGTCATGTGTTGGTCCTTTTGGGTCCCTTTTTGGAGCCTCGCCTTTTGCTCGCTTCGTGCTCGTTCCTCGAGCACTTCGTTGGGAGTTCCACTCCCGCTCTTGACTTTTCAAGTCGGAGCTTTTGGTCCAAACGTGTTACGCTCGTTTGGCTCTCGCTTCGGCCACTACCATGTGGCGCCCTTCCGGCTCCACTTTGGGGCCTAGGGATTTTGTGTCTCACACATATAACACGTGGCATATGGAGGGTTTAGGTTCCATTTCGTAGTATTATTCTATGGTAAATCACTATAGGATAAAGGGCCAAAACCATGTGCACTACATTTAGTATCAGAGAATGAGTCTTGGCAACTACTATCTAATGAGATTGGGCAACTAGTCTCATTGCATATGCAGAGATGAAAACAATGATCCGAGTGGGTATATGTTTGGGTGCAAAGGCTTCGCAATTGTTCCTTGGGTATAAACTTTGGTTACCTTTCGGACTGGAATATATGAGCTTTCGCTTGGGCTCATAAGTTGGATGGATTGTGTTGTTTGTTTTACACGAGTTTACGCTTGGGCTTGTGAGTGAGGCACATTAGTAACTCGGGATTACATTTTGAGTTGGTAGGATTAATGTTAGCTTACCAGTGGTTCTATGAGTTGTTCCATGTACCATGAGTGAAAGTAAACCTTCTTTGGGTTTGCTATGAGTGGCAAATAGGTTAGTCCATAGTTGCACTAGTGGATCCTTCCTAAGCATGATTAAAAGTGGATCAATTAAAGATTGTAGGGATGAGTCTATTGATTCAAGTAATCATTGCTATGCTCTCTCATAAACTTTTCTTGGATTGGACTAAAGGCAGTGCGAAAACAAGCTTAAGATTTAGTCAAAGATGAGACCGAAAAGAGAGTCATTAGGGACAAAAGATCAAACACATAAATCATTTCTTTTCTTGGAGAAATGATTCACAATGAAATGTGACTCATTGCTTATGTTTATATTATGCAATCGGGAGACCCTACCTTGTGCATGTTGGAAATTATGGTCTTGTAAATGGTGAGTCATAGGACGGGTAACAGTGAAATGCTAAACTAT